CCCCAAAACCCCAAAACCCCAAAACCCCAAAACCCCTTTAAAGCTTCTCTAAATTGATAAGAATTGTTCCTTCCACAGAATTTTTTGTAAAGGAGGAGATAATTTCTATATCCCTGAGTCTTAAGTTCAGCATCTCATAGTGAATCCTAAGAACAACTATGCTAAACTTGGCCCCGTAGGGACTCGATGAATAGAGTTAAGCCTCCTTTGGAAATTTGGAACAATTTTTATTGTAAAAGTTAGTCTATAAGATCTAATAGTCTTGGTGTAAAGTAGGAGAGAATGATATCACATCCTGCTCTTCTGTAAGCGGTCAAATTTTCTATCAAGATGGCATCAAGATCGAATACTCCTTTTTCAGCTGAGTAGTAAAGCATGGCGTATTCTCCTGAAGTCTGATATGCACATATTGGTCTCTTAAAATCTCTATGAGATGCTTCGTTGATAATATCTATGTAGAAAATACCAGGCTTCACCATGATGATATCTGCACCTTCCTCAACGTCTCTTTCGAGAGCTCTAAGGGCTAGATCTTTGCTGCCAAGAGGTAGCTGATACTTCTTACGATCACCGAAACTAGGAGCTGATCCACAAGCATGTCTGAATGGACCATACATTCCTGAAGAGAATTTAGACCCATAGCTCATAACTGGAGTTTTAAGCTTGTTAGCTCTGAATAGATTTTTAAGATATCCAATTCTGCAGTCCATTCAATCTGAAGGAGCAATGATATCTGCTCCATCTCTAATCAGGTTGAGGGCTATATCTCCAAGGATTTTCAGAGTCTCATCATTATCAAGCTCTCCATTTTCGAGGAAAACTCCACAGTGCCCATGAGAGGTATATGGACAAAGGCAGAGGTCACAGTTAATCAATAAATCTGGTAGCTCCTTCTTAATATTTATACAAGCTTTATTAACAGGGCCTTCTAGAGCTTTGGAGCCTCTCTCGTCTTTCTCAGTCTCTGGGATGTATGCGAACAACATTACACTTCTGAGGCCTTTCTCATAAAGTGGCTTCAGTACATCTACAATGTCATCATAGTGGATTCTATAGTTCTCTGGAAGGAGAGTGATTTCCTGTTTCCTGTTCTCATCATCAGCATGGATAAAGATAGGCCAGATTAGGTCTGATTTCTTGAACATGTCTACTGAATTCCATTCCCTTAACAAAGGATGCACCATCGAAGTGTGAAGGTAGTTCTTGGATTCTTGGGGAATCAACGAATCTCTTTTGTCAGGCTCCATTTTACTGATGTTATTAATAATACAATAAACTACGGAAGAGTTGGGGTTTTGGGGTTTTGGGGTTTTGGGGTTTTGGGG